TAACATCTAAATAATCACTACCATAACTTCATTTAGTTAATTCTTCTCCATGAATTTTTTTCTCATAAACAGTTATTGGTTCTTCACGAATTCTTACCATATTAATTGCATCAGGACCTAACACTTCATGATAGGCAGTAAATTGAATGGCTTCATCATTATTATAAACTTGTCAAAAGAATTCAGGAATTTGACCATTAGCTCACGTTAAATGTTTCTCTTCACAAGGAAAAGGAGCTCTCAAAATACTTGGACTAGTAAGTGAATAATTCTTACCAAAAATGCTGGTATCTTCTCCTCGTCAAAGAATAGAATAAGGAGTATTCACATCCTTATTGTCTTTAAATTGCAAACAACTCTTTTGACCAACTTTTAAGAAAGGACTATCTTGGTAATTACTATCTTTGGGAAAGAGAGCATGCATTATATAAAAAATGTCACTCATATTAATATATCTGTGAGTTTCTGTATTTTCTCTTTTATATCCCTCATTATTTATTTCAGACAGCATACTTTTATCACCAAAGTTTTTAAGTTTAAGTTGCAAATTTGCAACTCAAGTAAATACTTGTTTAAACTTTTTCTTTTTATCAGCATTTCAAGCACAATCTGAAGAATCTATATATTCAAAAAGTTTATCTTTATCTATGTCTTTTAAAAGAGTTCAAATTTGACCTTGAAAATCCATACATAAATAAATTGGATGAGTATAAGGTTTACCATTACCATTATAACCAGTTTTGATCACTGAACCATAACTATTAGCAGTAGCAGGAGTAGTAGGTTTATATAATTCTCTTGACTGAAGATCATTATATTCACATATTAATTCAAAAAACTTGCGACCACCTACTCCTGGGGTTTGCAGGTCATTTTTTAAAGCACCAACTGCAATACCAATGTTAGTTTCTAATGCAGTTTGCTTTTTTTCTAACAAATCATTATATTCTTTTTCTAGTTCTTGAATTTCTTTGTTAACAACTTTTTCTTTATCCTCCAAATCTTTAACTTCAAGTATTGCTTTTTCGTGTTTTTGATCAAATTCAGGATCAGATTCACTAAACAAAATATCTTCAAAGTTATCAATAATCTTATCAACTGGTTTATTGTTATTTAGATTATTAACAACTTGATAAGGAATAGATTCAGCTTTTTGTTCTTTTAATATGGCAGCCAATAAATTAAGACTTTCTGAACTTAAACCCATTCTTTCTTTTTTTATTTTTTCTTTGGCTTCTCTTCAACTGTTTAATAACTGAGCAGTATCTTGAAGGAGTGTTTTATCCAAAGTGTCATTTGGTTTTAAAAGATTACTGTCAAAGATAGCCTTTTCTTCTGGCTTAAGGACTCCTCCATAATAATTGGAATATCCTTTTGCCTCATCTATTGTATTTATATCGTTTTTATTGAATGCCATGATTTTAGTTCCTATATTATATTTTAATATTAATATCATTAAAAGATTAAATATAAAGAAATGAACAAAAACTAATAAAGTAATAAATTTTGTGGTTGACTGAAATATTTTTATTCATTATCAGTATAGGTTGGTCTTGGACAAGTGATATCTTTAAATTCATCTCTGACAAACGGACGAATATTTTTGTAAAGGTAGTCTTGACGTTTGTAATCTAATGGAGGCGGAGTTAGAACTAAAATAGAAAAAGATTTAATTTCTTTGGTAATTTCAG